CCTGGGGGGGGGGGCCCGGCGGGGGGGGGGGGGGGGGGGGGGGATGTGGGTGGTCAGCCGGCTGGCCCTGGACACTATTGTGGTTGGGGGGAGAGGCCAATCAGGGGCGCGGCCGGTTGGGGGAAGGGGCCACGAGAGGTTGGCTGGCTGGCCCCACCCTTTGATGGGGCTGGTTTGCTGGCCACAGTGGGTGTCATAGCAACTGGGTTTTCCAGTCATTACGGCAGTTCAGTCGCTGGCTTTTTATATATATAAATGTTCACATGGAGGTTTGGACAGTTATGACAAATGTCTGGGAATCTAAAAGGCCTCAGACACTATGTGCATGCCCAAGGCTATGCACATGCTTAGGACAGACCTGAAAAGACCTTAAACTCTCACCTCTGGCTGACCTTGAGGCTCTGTGCAAGCAGAAATTGAAATGATAAGCATAGTTGTGAAACTTCCTGGCTGAGTGACAAAATGCAAGCAGGGCCTCAGCAAAACTGAGAAACTTATTGGCCATGTATTTGAAGAACTCTCTATCTGATCATTAACCAACCAATAAGATAACAGAATAGAGATATCAGTGGCTACACACACCAAAGAATACAGATATTAGAGAACCAGTGGAAAAATTCACAAACTAAAAAACTAAAACAAACAACATTTGAAGGGGAAGAAAAATCTGATTTTGAGTTACTACAACATATTATTATGCTGAGGGACCCCCCTGAATGCAAAAATTTTTGTGCACCGGGCCTCTAGTATAGATATAAAATGTATAACATAAAGTCAGCAATCAGCTGAAATAGTTATTTTATTTAGATGATTCTTCCCAAACTTCACATTAATATATACATATATATCCCTCTTATCTACTGCTGTCATCCATGATTTCGGTACTTGCTTCAGGATGTACCCTTGATTAATGCCTAATATGAGCTAATATAAATTTATTCATATAAAGATTGAGAAATATATCTGTATAATTACTATATCACATATGATCATATATATTATATATATGGAATATAAAAAGGGTGTTCTGCTGTTAAATATGAACATTTTCACAGAACATCATCATCATACACAGCCAGTGTGAGGTAAGTGTGGATCAAGACAAAAGCAAAACCACATTTTAATCATGTCTGATTACAAATAAAATGTAAACATTTTCTCAGTCAGAAAAAAAAAGGAGCAAATATGTCCTTAATGGACACACAGGAGTGGCTATTTCTTCTTGACCAATTATAGCTGTAGAGTTTTTCTAGTCTTCCTTTTTTCTAGATAAGATTTACTAAGATACACAATTATAGAATTATGGTCTACTTTCTGATTACACCCAAAGCAGAGCAAAAGGCCTGCTTCCTCACACTTCCCCAAAAACCCCTAACAGAAGCTGAAATCGTTTAAAGCCTTTCTAACACATTCTTACTGAGATGCCCCATGGTTGCCCATGGCATGTGCTCTCCCTCACTGCAGTGGTTAATAAACCTAACTTGTTTAACTACAGGTGTGTTCCCAGCGGTCTTTGGTAGGAAGGCATTGAAAGGAGGTCAGCTCTTCTCAACTGAGGAGTTTCTTCCCAGCACCTATAGCTTCCACAAATATATTTAGATAAATCTTAGAAGGTTGGGCACCTTCATAAGTCCTGCTATATCCCCAAATCAAAGCCATTGCTTTAGTAGAATTTATGGTTATCATAATAAAATGGAAGTCCATGAAAAAAAAAGGAATCCTTTGTATGTTTAATACTTTTTAAAAAGCACTGGGTAACCAGAAATTAAAGGAAGAGAACAAGACAGATAAAGGAGGTTTACTGTGAGATATGAAAGAACATTCATCATAGTTTATCACAGTAAAAATGACTTCCATAATTGCATGAAGACAATTCAAAAAATGTAAATAGGTATTACATACTTCATAGGAAAAGCATTTCATGCCCTGCATAGTTGCTATATGCTTTGCTACAGGCAATTTGAAGTAAACAATTTAAAGTTTAATCATGCAATGGCAATGTAAAAATTCTTATAAATAAATTAGGAAAAAAATTTTTATAAACAATTTTTCACTGAAGGTCTTACTTGTAATGGAAATGTAGTCATAAACTAAAAATTAGATTCCATGTCCTAAATGTCGTAATTTTGATGCCCTTAGCTTAATATTTTTAATCCTCTTTATCATTTATATCATGTATATCCATATCCTCCTTTAGAAGGTTAATCTGATAATTAAATAAGATTAGTGTGTGAAAATGCAACCTCTCTAAAGAAAATTATTTTATTGTTGTCTTCAATCATAATTTCACATATATTTTATTTTTATTATTGTTCAGTAATAGAACAAAATTATGATAGGTTCCATTACAGAATGACAAATCTAGAGTTAATGAATTCTTAATATTTTACTTACTGTTACCTCAAAAATTATTCCTTTAACATGAATGTATGAGTTATCATATATTGACCATACCAATTTAAGGACATGGAAATTTAAACCTCTGCATTATTACTTCTGGTTTGTAACATAAAGCAAAACTATGTCAATTTGAAATATTAAAGACTAAATGCCTTTAATTTAATTTCTTTTGTTTACAGCAGCTAAGCATTTTTTAAACTTTGCTTTCAATGAATATTTTTTATTGTAATCTTTTTCATCATAATAGGGCAAATGTGACATTTTTCTTTTCTCTTTCTTTGGCCATACTTCTAAGTCTGATGCTTCTTGGTCAAAATTTTTTCTTCTAAATTTTGCTCAAGAAGAATTTCTCCGTTCCTAGACCATTGTTCTACTCATACTATTTTATTCTGCTAGTATTTTCTCAAAAATTGTGAACAAGTATGTCAGAAAAATGAAGAGATGAAGGGACGGGTACAGGAGTTAGCAATGTAGGTACAATAAAGGGAGGATAAAAATATACTAAAATAAAATAGTACAGTGAAAACATGTCGCTTTACAAATTAATATAAGTAATATAATCTGACTTAGTACAAAGGTAAATTAAAATATTCTTATAATTTTAAATTGTAAAAAAAATATTTTCAGTCATTTACCTGCCTCTTTATACCTTCACTCTCATTTGACCTTATTTTACATGGAACTGTCACCTGCAGAAATATTCCTTCAGAATCTGCAGAAAGAAAAATGAGTTTTGTTTTGTTTTTGCAACAGCAATTATCTCAGTGAAGCATGGGTTCTTAACTGAGTCCACGGTGGGGTCTAAAATTGTCAATAAATTTGTTTATATTTGCCCTCCCTCCTTCTTGGTCCAGAGCTTTCACTACAATGACACTGAACATGGCTAAGATGCAAATAAACAGAAATTAGACACTGCGGTTCTACAGGACCGTCTTTTCCCTTTAGATTGAACCACGTTGGACTGGTTCCCTCCGCACGTTGAGGAATAAATTGACAGCAGTACGCATACCCTTAACCCAATGGACACAGGGTAACTGAGCCAAGAAGACAAGCTGAGTCTCAGCCCCTGAGACCTTGGAGAATGGACTCCTTGGCTAACACCATCAGTCACCTGCTCTGGTCCGATGTCAGGGATGGGTGGGAGTGAGAGGGTGGGGGGCCTAAGGTGGGTAGGTCGGGTGTGTGTGGGGGGGAGGAGTTAGGAAGGGGAGGAGTTACACAGAGGAAAGAACCAGCAGGGAATCCGGAAAGGGGGCAGTATGGATCCCAGAGCTACAGGAAATTGTTCTCCAGAAAGAGCCCGGCTCTGCTCAGAGGCACAAGGAGAAGGAAGTCAGGCTCCCATGGTCTTACCCATGCGGGCATGCAACCTTCCAAGCTCAGTGAGCAGTGCAAGGAGTAGGATCATGGCTGAGCCAGAGCTCAGGAACACAGCCAAGACTGAAAGCCGTTGGGCAACCCTGGGGCTCGGGAACACAGCCAAGACTGCAAGCGGTTGGGCAACTCTGGGGCTCGCGAGCAGGAGCCCTCAGGACTGTAGCCCTTGTGCGCAGGGCCCTGGGGTGAGGACTGCAGTTACGTTCTGCTTTAGCTCACCCTGCGGGATCCTGATTGGCTGGGTAACTGACACAGGTTTGAGAAAGAACACCTCGGGCAGGAGCCTTTGCGTTTTGGCACAAGTGGATTGTTGTGGGTAAATGGACATTGTTTGAACCCTTCAGTATTGATATAGGGGCAGATAAGCATGAGTGGCTTTTCTGGTCAAGTTCTTGGCAATTTGGTTTTTCTATGCCACAGTTTTCCGGCATGTTTTATTTACTGTGGGGTAAAAGAAAGTAGAAACCTCAACTGTTTGCATGAGACATTTCCTACTTAAATCGTGGTAATGCTGACTTAATTTGCCATCTTTGCAAACAAGGAAAAATCAAAGATTGTTGAACTTGACCCTGAATAAGGCAATTAACAAGCACTTTTCTTCAACTGCGTGCCTCTTCTTACAGTATTATATTATAATCGATTGAGGGGGAAATAAAGGGACACTTTAAAATGCAGCCTAAGTGTGTTTTGTTCACAATTACTCTGAACACTAGCAAGGAACCTGTGGAGATGGGAAGGGCAGCAAGACAAACTGAGAAAGGAAATGTGACCACATTGTAGAGGAAAGAGCATGGAATGTCTTAGAATTTTCTGACCAGTATCTTTCACTGCACATGTCTGAAACCTAACACAACTTCTACCCCACCTCTCACCCAAACCTACTTTTATCCAAGTGAACTCCACTGCAAGCACTAATTGTGTCAACAGAGCCCAGAACAAATTCTGGTCAGGCCTAAAACTTGGACCTGGCAGGTAGTAGTACACTGGGAAACTGATCCTGACAAGTTAATATTAAAATAATACAGGTCAGTGATGATAATGACCTGAAATAACACAGTGGCAGTGAGGATGAAGAAAAGTTATGATAGAGTCATCCTCATGTGTGTATATGTATTTACCACACAAATTACCCATTAAATTGTTACAATGAATGAATAGGAAGGGGAATCACAAGTTATTGGAGAGATGTGGACTGTAGGTGTCCTCTTTTGAGATGGGAGCAGTTAGCATGGCCATGGGCATCTGAGGGCAAGCAGCTGCGGTGAGTGGACAAAGGAATGTTCTCACCTTGGGATGGAACAGCCTCTCTCCTTCGAAAGAGACTAAATTGCTTATGTCCTACTGAAGATCCCAGCAAGAAGGAGAATTAGCAGACATAAGCCTACATACTTTCACTCTCAGGACTTATTGTGGTTTGTGAAACTGAGCCATAAGGAAAGGAGAGAACAGCAGATGTTTTTCTTGCTTGGATTAGACCAGTTAATGGTGAGTTTCTTGGTAATACCCTTTCTCCAACCTATGCCTTTTGGACCTTTTTGTTTAATCACTGTTGTAAAAGATATATGGAAAAATATAAATGTTAAACTTAACTGTTAATAAAAGCTGTCTAATTTTACTATGTACAACAAGCACAGCATTTAATTAGTATATTAAGACATTAGTTAAACTGTCACAATCTATGCCTGTGTTCCATGGAATTTATAAATCTATTTTTTCTGATAGCCACATTAAAAATATATTATAAATTGGTATTCATAAATGTCTCATTTGCACAGTTTCTATGCTTCATCTGGGTAAAAGAAAGTCACTGAGAAGGAAACAAAGGAAAATAACAATAAACATATGGGAAGAAAGAAATAATTACTCTTAATTGGTCTATTTTTATGTACAGAGGAGGAGTATTTCCAAGAGTTCTCTGTGCATATCCAACAGGTGTCCCACATACACTTGGTGTTCAAAACCAAACTCATTCTTCACTCCCCTCTGCATCATCCCTCCAACACCAAACTGCGTCTTACCCTGCTATCCAATGTCATTAGTAAAAGGTGTCCTTATCCGTTGTATCAAAATATTTGTCTTTATAGTTTTTTGTTATTCGAGCCCAAGTATATCATATCCATCATTTGTCACTTATTTGTTTCTACTTTAATTATGTCTTACAAAACTTTTTGATCTTTTCCTCTCTTCCAATTCTGTCCTCATCACATCTTTCCTATGTATTTCAGACTCTCATAATTGTTTCACTCTTGTCCAGTTTCGGCTGAATCCTAGTGAAATTTAAAAGTACATTCACATGTTCCCATTTGTATATGAGAAAATGCAAACTCCTTATCAGGGAACACAAGGCACTTGTCTTGGCAAATGGTTACCTATGTAGATTTTACCTCTCAATGTTCGTACATTTTAAAATAAGTTTAAACATGGATTAAGAGCACAAACTTAGCAACAGGTCCAGATTTACATTTTAGCCTTCCTATCTTCCTGCTATATCCATAAACATTATTTCAGTACTTTTTCTTATGCACTACATCCAAACTGGCAGTGCATTCTGTTGTTGATTCACCTTAAAATTTATTCTGAAAACCATCTTTACTATCACTGGTCTGAAGTATTACCTATTCTCTCCTGGATTATTTCAGTAGCAATCTGCTAACTGGTTTTTCCACTTTTACTCTCTGTCCTCATTACAGACTACTTTCAACAAAATAGCCTTTAAACGTGTATGTAACAGTTCCAAATACAAGAATAATGAAAAATGTGGCACAGATCCTACCACTAAAGAGACTCAAACAGACACCACCTTATAAAGTGCAACACACTGCATTCATCCCTTACTTGTATTGAGTGTTTCTTGGCAGCACACACCCATACACACATACTCATGCATTTAAAAAATGTATAATTTTCTAAGCACACACCTAAAATTGCAAAACCATCCATTAAGTTTCCAAAACTATCATCGTGTATATTCACTTCTTATGTACTTAGAGCAAAAGAACCATTTGTAACTAAAAATATAAATTTCCAATTCCTCATCTTGTAAAAAAAAAATTATAATCTGTAGTAAATTAACATAGATATCTATGTTAACATAGAGATAACAATGCCCTGTCTATGTTAACTACTGTAATTTTTTTATGTCATCTATGGTTATTCAAGAGAGAGGAACATTTACCGAGAACTAACCACTTGAGAAAAGGAAAAATGATACCATAGCGCAGAAATGATTAAGAAATCAGTCATTTGTTATTTTATTTACAATTTTAATTATCTACCCCCTTTGCACCAATCACCATAAATTTGACTAATGTCCTATTCTCTCTATCCTATGCTTAATAAATACATTTTGCCTCTTGACATAATTCAAAGGTGTTTTGATTTGCAATTTTATTTTTAAATCAGGACTTAAGTAAACAATACATGTTCTTGTGATTTATAGGGTACATTATTGATTTAGAAAAAGACAGTTTAAAAATTAACCCCAAGAGAGAAAAAAATGGCAGCTGAGTAGGCAGACATGTTCCAAGCCTTATCTCGGAGCAGACAGAAGGAGCATCTAAATTGAATAACATCCACCGGGATTGGCAAAGTAGACCAGCTGGTGAGGCAATTCACAGCTGAGAAGGGCAGAGGGTGCCTGGAGAATGGTAGGATCGGGGATCTGGGCTGTAGAGAGTTGTGAGACCACTGAGCCAAGAGGGTCAGAAGGAAGCTGCATGGCACCAAGTCCACTTCCCTTGGGGACAGGCATAACATCTGACTGTGGGAAGGAAGTCCAAAGGGCTGCTGGTGACAGGGGATTCAAATCTAAGTCCACAGACACGAGAGGCTGAGCCCAGAGGGGTGGCCTGAAGAATTGCCTGAGCCATGGAGTGCCAAGGGGAGAGAAACTAGCAGTTGTGTGGTTGTTTTGCCTCTGTTTGATCTTTGATTTTATTCTTTAAACCCAGTTCATAGGACATTTCAAATACAAACACTCACCCATAGCTTCAGTGCAGGTGGAGGTGCAGATTTGTGGAGTCTGGGGAGAGGCTGTGGAGGAGAGCTGGTTGGGGAGAGGTGACCAGAAGTCCAGCATTGAGTAATTCCAGACCCTCCAAACCTAAGCAGCCATTTTTCTCCTGAAGAACCAGCTGAAATGAATGACACTTCACTTCTTTATTCTATTTTTTTTATCTTTTATTTAACATTTTTCTTTATTTTCTTTGTTTTTAAAATATTTTTGCATGATTTTTTCTTGATTCTATTTTTATATTTTAACATTAATTTATTACTTATTTTATTTATTTTTTCTTTCTTTTCTTCTTATCCACTTGTTCTCTTTCTACCTCCTCTATACTGAACCGAGGTCCTCCCCCTATTCATTCAATTCCTTAACCTTACTTTCTGTATTAAGCCCTGCTTCTACAGATTCTGCCCCCCACCCCCCATTTTTTCTGGGTGTTTTTTATTTGAATTTTTTGGTTTTATCTGTTTTTTTCCTGTGGTGTTTTCTACCCATATATTTTCTTCTTCGTTTTTCTTCTTTTTCTTTTCACTCTTACATTTTTTTTTCTTTTCCCAATGTCATTTTTGCTCTTTTCTCTCTCCTAATTCTCTTTTCTTTGGTGGTCACTTATATTGGGGTTATTGGTGTTGTGAGTATATTCATGTTTTGTTCCCTTTGTGTTGTGTCTTGTTGAGTTGTACTTTGTGCTGTTCAGTCAATGTGGTAGAGAGTGAGCCACATAACCAGACATGCTGAGAGGAGACTCCATCCACAAATGGGACAATAACACTCAAGACCCAACTACACCAAGAGAACCCAAATATCCCACATGGGGGGCATCCCTAGATGACCCAGCCCAGAAGACTGGAAATATTACATCACTGGGTCCCACAAAACATCTACTGTATAAGACATCTACTCTGAATGGCATAGCACTTTAATCTAATACGTAGAGTCAATAAAAAAGGATCAGAAAAAATGGTGAGACAAAGAAACAACCCCATTCAAAAGAAAAGGTGGAATCACCAGAAAAAGAAATTAAAATAGAGGCAAGCAATTTGTCAGAGAAAGAATTCAGAGCAATGTTTATAAGGACTCTGAAAAGAATGGAAGACAAATTCAACATATGTGTAAGATTCAAGAGGAAATAAAGAGGAATCAATAGGAAATGAAGAATGAAGTAGCTTCAATAATGAACACAATGGAAAGTTTCAACAGTAGACTAGAAGAAGCTGGGGACCACTTCAGCAAGTTAGAGGACAAGGTGAAAAAACAGCCAAGCACAGCAGCAACTGGAAAGAGAACTTAAAAAGCAGGAGGAGAGCCTTAGGGAGCTTAGG